CCCCCCACCCCACTCACTAAACTGGTTGCACTCTCCAACTCCAATTCCTAGAATGCACCTAAATTATCTAAGGATTAAAGTGTTATATCTTATTTCTTTTTAGGCTACTGAACCTAAACCTGTCTTTTACTCTTAATGCAATCAACTTAAGGGGAGTAAAATCATGGGATAAGCCTGCTTGTTATTCCTTAAAAGTCACTGTAAGTTTTGATATATTTTCAATAGTTGTGCTTGATGTCTGTGTTTGCCTTTGCCCAATTTTTTGTGCACACAAAAACTGTTTTTGTGTTAAAATATTTTTTAAAGTTCACCATGCATTTGGCTATCATAAAAATTCAGTCTTCTTAAATGATCAACTTTCATTTTAAAGTAATATTTTTTAGATATTTCCATTAAAAATATTTCCATTTTAAACTCGTGGTATATTTTATTTCTATCTTTCAAACAACTTACTATTATTGAATTTTTCAGATAAACTTTGATAACACCAAGCTTGATGGACAAATGCCAATCAGTCTTGATATGGAAAATAGTTGGTTAAAATGTGAAGATGATTCTGAGATCAAAACCAGTGATGAAGAAGGTGAGAGACACTGCTATTGTATGTATACCCTTCTAGGTGATCTCAGGGAACATTCACAAAGTTTCAGTTGTTTATTGGCAAACAAAGCGGTATCATTTCACAATAATTTCATTTTTTTTTAAATGTAAACAAAATGCACCATTTGACCCATTGAGGTAGTCATTTAGAATTTTAAATGCATTACTAGTCTATGAAGCTGCCGATACACACTGCAATTGCAACATCTACCCAAAAAGGTTTGAAATGGGTAAAAATCAGTACTAATTCCTGATTGGCTAGTCTGAATAGGATTAATGCATTGCGAGTAAACATGGGTGACAACTAGCTGCAACATTTAGTTTTTCACTATTCTTAGGCGTGCAATTACGAAAATGTTGCAGAGAAAAGTTCAAACTTTTTGATTTTGTGCAACAATTTTTGCATTGTGAGACATCGTTGTGGTCAAAGTTGCGGGGCATGATACACACTGAAATTGTGTCTTGTGCTGGCAATGCTATGGAAAAATTGAGATTGCATTGCTAATCATAATCAAGATGATGATGATGATGATGATGGCCTTGCTGTGATGATGGTGATGGCAATCATAATCAAGATAATGATGAAGATAATGATGATGATGGCCTTGCTGTGATGATGGTGATGGTAATCATAATCAAGATAATGATGAAGATAATGATGATGATGGCCTTG